CGAGAGTGGAATCTGCTGAAGGAGTTGGTGGACATCTTGAAACCGTTCGGAGAAGCAACTGATTTGACACAGGGGGAGAAAGTCATTACAATCAGTGCAGTTGTTCCATCCGTCTTGTCCCTCAATCACCATCTTGAGAAGCTGAAGCCTCAAGTTCGTTTCCTGAGCGGCCTGGTCAGAGGTCTGCAGGCATCCCTGGAAAAAAGATTTCTTGGGATCTTCATTAATGTGAAAATGGCCCAGTCTCAAGAAGGGATCACTGCCCCCTTTTCAGACACAGTCTACCTGAAAGCAGCTGCCTTGGATCCAGCCTTTTGTCTGCTGTGGATTGAGCCCCATGTGCTGGTCAACCGTGACATCAAGGCAGAGGTGGCACAACGAGTTAAAGGTAAATCTTATTGACTTGCAATGCAACTTAAATGCAACGTAAAATAATTTGATCTTAATCTGATCTAGGATCTAATGTGATATTAATCTGACTTTAACAATAATAATTTTCAGTCTTGCACAGTATCATCAACATCAGTAATGGTAATAAGAGCTCTTTTGTTTCTGCTGTTGTGACACGTTTTTTTAGAATTGATCCTGAAAGATGCTGCAGAGACGGAGCAACCTGTGCCTGTGCCGGTGCCTGCTGAAGAAGAACTAGAGGACATGGAAGGAGAAGGGCTGTTTGCTGCATACCATAAGAGGCAGAAAAGGGATGTTGGGACCCCACCAGCAGTACAGCTAAGTCACTACATTGACATGGCAGAAGGACAGAATGCCCTTTTGTTCTGGGCACTGAACAGTAAGACTCTTCCTTCACTCTTTCAAGTAGCCATCCGAGTCTTGGCAGTGCCTGCTTCTAGTGCTCCAGTGGAGCGAGTTTTCAGCCATGGTGGCATCATTCTGCGTCCCCATCGTGCACAAATGACTGACAGACTTTTGGCCAATTTGATCTTTTGCAAATGCAATGCAGTGTAGGGGCCTCCCTCCACCTGTCCACAGCACGCATGCGCACACACACTCACTCTCTGCTCATCACCTGTCCACACAGCTCTCTCTCTCTCATACACACCAGTCTCTATGGAGGCATTCCAATTATATTATCAGGTTGGTCCAGTTTTTCAGAAGTGATAATTTTGAGGAGTGAGGATTTTATTGATGACATGTTTAAAAAAGTTTATGCTAAAAGAACCCATGTCTATTTGAAAGTTAAACTGTTTTGCAATATGAGGTCAATGCAATACAGGACTGAAGCTGCTGTGCATTGTTCTAGTGCAATATGCTGTTGAAATAAGAGCATTTTTTGTGAAAATTTAATTTTCTGTTTTTTACTGTGTTTGATTAATGTCATTGTATAAAAAGAGGTTTAAATAAATACAAATCTTACAGACATACATGATTTGTATAAATTTTATTTCTGTGGTAAGAGGACTTGAAATGACTCAACTAAAATGGTAGGACTCCGGAATCGACTTGAGACTTGCAGGCTTTGACTTCTGACTCGACTTGGGACTTGCCTCATCTTTGACTCGACTTGACTTGGGACTCGAGAGCAAAGACTTGAGACTTACTTGTGACTTGCATAACAATGACTTTGTCCCACCTCTGGACTGTACAGTAGTGTATAGTGTAGTGTACTAGTACATCTCATCGGTGTGTTGGAGAGCCAAGCCACAACATTTACAATCTAAGTACAACGTTTTGACAGTAATCCCAACCAGCTTCATCAGACGACAGCCAAATGTTGTGGCTTGGCTCTGTGGGAATAGAAATCGGCTCGCTGGGTTCATAGCGCAGCACGCTAATGGTTGCACTACCGCTCCCCACTCACTCACAAACTTAATCGGAAGTATAGTATTTATCCAGCAATAACTAAGTTACCCGGCTTAGCTCAGGTCTCAGTAATCAAACATTAAGAGTAATGTCTTTGCTTTTTTATGTAATTAAGGTCTATCGTACCATATCGAGGCTTGGGGCTTTGGGTTGTTCTTTGTTTTTTATGTCTCTGCCTCTGCTCACATTCATTGACGATTTTTATGATTTTGGGCAAGCCCGTCTAAAGCTGCGTGACCAGGAATTGGAGCCATTTGCTGTTCAATTTGGCTTGTGACAGAAATTCACTCTGCCCCCATGCATTACATTACATAGCATCTTCATTAATTATGTAGTTGAGAAGCTCACAATAGCCATATAAATAAATTGCATTCGTTACAGTTAAAATGATACGCGCATCGATGCCTGGTTATAGTTAAGGGATCGTTCCCTGGTCAACCATGTTATATCTGCTGATGATCTGGAAATGGCTACTCAAGGAGATGGGGTTAGATAATCTCGTTCTGTGCCTGGATAATTCCATCATGAAAGGTGGCCTTGCGTATGTTCCACCAAAATAAATCACCTGCTGGGGAATTTCATGTCATACAACACTGTACCTGCTCAACTCTCCATGAGTAATCAGGCAGTTCTGCAAGTAATGGAGGAGCTCCCATACCTGGTTAATGTGTTCACGACCAGCTCTGGTTTGGCAGCCAAAGTCTCACTTTAAATTTGTCGAGCAGCATTCTTTCATTAGACTGTGTAACACTGTGTGGAAGCTGCCTGGACTTTTGCTCCATACAAAGCTGTGAGTGTCCATCACCAAGGTCTAGTCTGTCTGAGACCATCCCTCTCCCTGCCATACTGGCATCGCACCCGCCTCTCACTCTTCGTACTGTGGATGGCGGGCGCACAGGACGGTGCCACGCAGCCATTCCAGGCTGGGTCCAAATGGGTTACGTGGGTCACCGAGCCACCAGGCATCGTTCCATGAGTGATATCAATATATAATATCTGTAAGGATGCCCCCACTGTCCCTGGAACTCTACCAGGCACGTCCCACTGGGGGACGTCCCAGGAGCCTGGCCCCGGACATTCTGGTGGGAATATGTCACTTGGCTGGATTTGGGAACGCCTGGGAATTCCCCAGGAAGAGCTAGAGTCTGTCGCCAGGGAAAGGGAGGTCTGGACTGCCCTACTGAATGTGCTGCCACCACAAACCTCACCAAGACAAGAGGATTTAGAAATAAATGAACGAATAAAGCTGTGAGTCTTCTTGGCCACAGACATTACTCCTTTCTCTGTGGATGCAAAATATGAACTTATTTTAAGGACTGTCTGTGCTGGCTTTTAATTAAGGCTGGCCGGCCTATGATCCCCTCTATTGAACCAAACAAGATTGTATTAAAACTTTATAGATTCCTAAAATATCAGTACAGAATATAATCTGAGACTTTGGCAGGGGAGGCTGCATTGGTTGGGTCATGAATTCCGCATAAACAGACAGCATGCACAATCATCTTTTGTTAGTCCAGATGTTACGGGCTAAACGGGCATGGCATTGGCTAGAGAAGAGATTGGAGGATGTGGAGTTGATCAGACCTGCTGTCAAGATCGGCCTCTCGAAGAGGCCCGTGACATACGCTGCAGGGCAGTTGGAGGTATTTGCTCTGCAACAACAATGAGGTTAGAGTAGCAACGATCACATGAATGGGTGGAACGCTGGGTGCCTCAAATGCAGCAAGACAGCAGGAAGCACAGCTGGTGCGTCTGTTAATCATCTCAGTCAGTCATCCCTTGACACCTGGATCATTCCCATGACATGCTGACAAGTGATCCACACTTACATGGCATTCATGTGAAATATATGTGTATGTAAGAGTTTATGTGGGGAGCGGTGGCGCAGTTTTTCCACTGTATAACAAAAAACATTTGTTCCTAGGTAGTATGTGTTATTTCCTAATTGCTTTTGCCTCTAAAGTACAAAAAATGGAAATTATTCTCCACAAACTTTGCTTTCGTGACCAGGACAGTGATATTTAGAAATGTATCTCTTTTCAATGAGAAAATAGGTGAATTAGTTTTTTTAGTTCTTGTATAATTCTGGTCACAAAAGCAATGTTTGTGGGGAATAAGCCATTTTCTAGACATTTTGGCATAAGCAATAAAAAAATAACAATTAGTACCCAGGAACAAAAATTGTGTTACATAGTGTTATCACAATTAAAGTTTGATTATCGCCGACAGCAAACGTGATTGATTGGTGAAAACTTCACTTATTGTGGGGAAGCATTATTACGGAGCATATGAAGGTGGCCAGGCATGGTTCTGAACACACCACCTTTTTACCATGCCATTGTGTGTTACAGTGTCAAGTTTGTATTTGCTGTAAAGTATATTAACTCGATTGAACACAGAGGTTAAATCAAAACAATAGTTTATTTTAGTTTTCCTTTGGAACTTTTTACGAGAATGGAAACAGGAAATTAACACAGCACATTTGCAGCTGAAATTAGATCTGTTCATCCCAGCATTCAAGGAAATCTGAGCCTGGCTTCACACCTTTACGTTGTGATTGAACATTAATTTATGCATTTCTGCATAATACAAATAGTATTATTTTCAACACCCTTTATGACGTTAGCTGCATTTTGCTTTCATAAATATTCCTTTTGTAGCCAGACAACTGAAATTGTGTGCTTGGAGTTTTAGGTTAACAGTCATTTTTAAGATACTAGGGCTTCCAGGCTGTCATTTGCCCTCTCATTGTGTGCCCATGTGATGAATTTGGGAATCTTTTTCACTCTTATCATGAATATATGAATGAGTATAGACGTGCAAGTCATGTGTGACTGTGTATATATGCATTCTTTTGTGCCTCTATACTGACGTAGATGGTCTGGATATTATTTTTTTCTGTCTGCAGCTGATGCTTCTTCTGGCACTTCCTCTGCAGAATTGGTCTGATGGAGCAAAGGCACTCAGCACAGCTCGGTGCAAAAAGGCAACAATGCAACCAGTGTGCATACAGCACGGATCATGTTCAACATCTGATACAGCACCAGAGAACTCACGCAGGAGAGAAACCCTTCAAGTGCAGTCTGTTGCGGAAGGCGTTTTCACAGTCATCTGCTCTTGTATTATATCAGATAACTCACACGGGAGAGAAACCCTTCAGTTGCACTTTGTGTGGGAAGGCGATTGCACAATCATCACATCTTCAAGCACACCAGAGAACACACACGGGAGAGAAACCCTTCAGTTGCACTCTGTGTGGGAAGGCGTTTGCACAATCACCATATCTTAAATTACACCAGAGAACACCCACGGGAGAGAAACCCTTCAAGTGCACTGTGTGTGGGAAGGCGTTTGCACATTCACAACATCTTCAATTACACCAGAGAACACACACGGGAGAGAAACCCTTCAAGTGCACTGTGTGTGACAAGGCATTTTCATATCCATCAGTTCTAAGGAACCACCAGAGAACACACACAGGAGAAAAACCCTTCAAGTGCAGTGTGTGTGGGAAGGCATTTTCACATTCATCTGCTCTTAAAAAACACCGGAGAACACACACAGGAGATAAACCCTTCAAGTGCAGTCTGTGCGGTGTTGTATGTGTTGGTATGGTGAAATTTTGATAAAAATAATAAATATTAATAATTTTTCCAAAAATGCGCAAATCGCATCAATTATGTTAATGTGTGTATTACTATGCATAAATTGTGATAATGCGTGTAATTATATGCATAAATTATGATAATCACGGAGATAATCATAGTAATTTATGCGGAGGCTTGCGATTATGTTAATGTGTGCAGTTATGATAATTTGCTTAGTTTCGTTTATCCAGAGTTATCAATCAGGATAACACGATTATCATGGATTCATTTACCGATTATCCTAGTGTGTGTTATAATATTTTAGGTCTCCATTTTCATATCTCATCGCAGGTAACAGCTCTTATGAATAAGACAGTTTTGCATGGACTTGGAAGGAACACTCGATATGCTTCTGTGATAACAATTTTATTCTAACAAGCACGTGACATTCTATCATGTAGGTCAAACATGCGTCAATAAATTCATGAGCAAGATTATGCCATCACAATCGGCGACTGGCCGAGTTTGAAAACAAGCATGACACACTTCATTTTGCGGTAATAAAAAGCACTTATTATACCCAAGAGGCGAAAGTATATGTCAATAGATTCATCGGCAAGTGTAAAATCCTTTTAACGGAATCTTTGAGTCAATGGTGGGTGAGGCGTGTGTGGGGGAGAGCGAATTTGGCTCTGTTTTAATTAATTCTTCGGCGAGACTCTATAACAAAGGAAACTGGTTTGACAAGATTTTCTCTGTTCTTCCTTGAGTCTGTATGTGGGGAGCGATACGACCTCTGTCCGTGCGGGTTGCAGCCGAGACTTTCTCCGCGGTGAGGTGAGCGGCGGCGCTCGGCGGCGCTCGGTGGCGATCGTTGTCGCTCGTTGTCGCTCGGTGTCGTTCGGCGTCGCTCGACGGCGCTCGGTGGCGCTCGACGGCGCTCGGCGGCGCTCGGCGGCGATCGTTGTCGCTCGTTGTCGCTCGGTGTCGCTCGACGGCGCTCGGTGGCGCTCGGCGGCGCTCGGCGGCGATCGTTGTCGCTCGTTGTCACTCGGTGTCGCTCGACGGCGCTCGGTGGCGCTCGACGGCGCTCGGTGGCGCTCGGCGGCGCTCGGTGGCGCTCGTTCGGAAGACTTTGACTCTCTGCTTTGCTCGCTTGGCGATCTCCGCCTTTCCTGCGGGTTGTTCGCTGGTCGTCACTCTGACGAGGAGCGATGCTTCATTCGTGGCAGGGTGGACGTTGGCGTCTTTGTTGGCTTCACTCGCAGCTCGGCGACACAGGGTAGCGATTCTTCTCAGGTGGTGCAGACCTCGGCTTGTAGCTGCGCGTCGCTACTCCGCGAACCTCGTCATTCTGGATGACGAAAACTTCTTCGTTGTCGGCGTTGATATGAGATGGGGCCCATGGCCCGGACGATCTCTGGTGGGGCCCGTGGCCCGGACGATCTGTGGTGGAGTCGAAGCCCTGGCGACGAGATGGGGCTCAGAGCCCTGGCGATCTGCTTTGAATGGATTTTCCTTCGGTTTATATCTGGACATTCCACTCAGTTTCCCGAGTTGTTCAAAGTCTGTCATAAAACATTCCTGTGGGTGTGAACCATCTGCGTTCGTGTGTGTGTGTGTGCGTGTCCGTCCGTGTGTTTCGCGTGCGTGTTTGTCCGTGTGTTTATTAGCTTTGAAGACACAGCTGTGTGTCGTTCTGGAAGAAAGGGGTGGGGGGGGGGGGCCTTGTGACGGCGCCACCTAAGTTTATCCATTAACCAGACCGATGATTCGCGTTCGCATTGAGTTATATATAAAAAAAAGTATTCGAATCCATGTTTTTGTTACTGAATAATATTTCTCGCGAAAACCTATGCGTTAAGCGAGCTTAATTATTCCCTCCCTTGCTCGGGGATCATATCTTTTGTCTCACACAGCTTAAGTTGTTTTTGGTTTGGAAGTTGAAATGCGACTTATTTCCATTATGCCCAGTTATGCCGAAACCGTGTTCACGATGTTTCATCGTGACCCGATCTCCCATGGAAATGTTATTTCCTCGCGTGTGCAATTTTTGCTGTCCGTATTGTGGGGAGACAAAGACGGTTGTTTCCACGGTGGGAGCACCCGGCGCATGCACTTATTTATTTATTTCCGAATACGTGTTAATTCCCTTTGAGCCATTGCCCCAACCTTTATGGGTGTCATTTCCTGGCTTTGTGCCTGCGTGTGGAGATCCTCTCGGAAAGACAAAGGCGGCCGTGTTGCTCGCTTCCCATGGGGTGTTGTGTTTGGTTAATTTTGAGAGCCTTCTCCGCCCTTGATTCCTCTTCTACTTTAATTCCGTACTTATTATTTGACTTCTTGTGATTATTTAATCTGATATCCCGGCTAGGGATCTTTGTTTTGGAGCGAAATAGATGCCATAATTATTGTTTGATGCTTCGGCCCGGCCGTGTAGAAATTCTTTAAAGGTAAATAATGTCAGTATTTAATTAACAATGATGAGTCGCGATTCTGGTGCAGACTGTAGTCTGATTTCCAATTGGAGTGAGGATGGATACTGTTTGCTTAATCTTCATGGCTAAGTTGGTAACTTTGTGCATCTAACATGGTTCAAATACCCGTATGTGCTTTTTGTCGTCAATGCTGTTTCTTTGTTAAGAATATAATTATCTCTTTCTCCGTGGTGCCTGGTTTTGTATTTATCAAAGGGTTTTTTTTTTAACAAAAGGATGTCCTCCTGACCCCCCCGCTTGCAATTCCCCCCTCCCTTGTTCCTCTTGTGTGAAATTCGGGGAGTTTTATGACCTTGATTGCTCTCTTTCATGCCCTCTTTCCTTTGAAATGAGGTATGACCGCATCTGTGGAAGTGTGGGGGCGTGTTCGTTCCACGTTGCCCAGTGTCTATTAAAAAAAACGATTATATATGTTGGCAGAATAATTCTTAAAAAAATTAATATTACAAATATTAAAAAGGGGGTACATACACAACAGCGGGAAGGCGTTTTCACAGTCATCTGCTCTTGTATCACACCACAGAACACACACAGGAGAAAAACCCTTCAGTTGCACTGTGTGTGGGAAGGCGTTTGCACATTCACAACATCTTAAAATACACCAGAGAACTCACACGGGAGAGAAACCCTTCAAGTGCACTGTGTGTGACAAGGCATTTTCACATTCATCAGATCTTAGGAACCACCAGAGAACACACACTGGAGATAAACCCTTCAAGTGCAGTGTGTGTGGGAAGGCATTTTCAGATTCATCTACTCTTAAACAACACCGGAGAACACACACAGGAGAAAAACCCTTCAAGTGCAGTCTGTGCGGGAAGGCGTTTTTACAGTCATCTGGTCTTGTATCACACCAGAGAACACACACGGGAGAAAAACCCTTCAAGTGCACTGTGTGTGACAAGGCATTTGCATGGTCATTAGGTCTTCATAGACACCAGAGAACACACACAGGAGAGAAACTCTTCAGGTGCAGTCTGTGCGGGAAGGCGTTTTCACAGTCATCTGGTCTTGTATCACACCGGAGAACACACACGGGAGAGAAACCCTTCAGTTGCACTCTGTGTGGGAAGGCGTTTGCACAGTCATCAAATCTTAAAAGACACCAGAGGACACACAATCATCAGAAGATCCCCAAGAAATGGAGTCTGAAATCGGCTTGTGAAAGTCAAAGTGCTGCAATGAGCCCATCCCTCATGAAACCAGAAGTGAATCCCAGCTTGGACACTTTTAAAGGTATCAAGGTGAAATGTGAAGAAATGATGAAGAGCGAAGAAGTAAAGGTGAAATGTGAGAAAGTGATGGTGAAAAGCGAAAAAGTGACGGTAAACTGTGAAGATGAAGATTCAACTCCAAAATCGTACCTTCACATCGATGGAGGCAACGTGAAGCAGGAAGAGAATTCTGACTTCGAGGCAGAGCTAGGCAACTCCCAGCAGTTTGTGGAAGTGGAGGTGTGGTTGGACTTCTTAGACAATACAAAGTCAAATGGAGACCCGGTAGATGGGTAGGCTTGAGACAATGAAGCTCCAATAGATGCACCTTTGTCACAGGCCTTTAATGAAAAGAACGTGAATTTGAACACTGAATTCCTGGGTTCAACCTGCAGAGTAAGAGCGGCGAGTATTTGTTGACCTGTGGTTGGGTAGATGAATAATCAGGAGCAAGACCCAATAAGCTTCCAAGTATTCCACTGTTATATTTATATTTGCATTGATATGGTGCTTGCTTAATTGCCTCAGCAACTCAGTTTCATATCTCATCACAAACACTCGAAGAGCACCTTCAAGTGGCAGCTGCCTCTGTGTCATAAGGTGACACTGCTGTCAACTGCATGTGGGCATGAGTCTGTCAGTAGGGGGTGATGATTGATGTGTAATCTTCATTATGTAATTTCTGGATAATGTTTGAAATTGCCCAAATATTCAGTTTAACACGTAGGCTTTCGCGACCAATGTTATTCATGGTCCGAATCAGTCGGGTGGCATTATCTTTACATCGGCTGCGCTATGCTGTGGAAGCTACCTGGTCTGTCGCTCCGCATGAAGCTTCGGTTCTTCTCGGCCAGTTTTGCCCTCCCTTCTGTAGGCATGTGAAACGTGGACCCCTCTAAATGGAACATCTGCGCCAGTTAGAAACATTCAGGCTGTCATGCCTACACTCAGATTGAGGGAATCCAAGAAGAAGCACATTCTCTATTTATTGCAGAGGTTCAAGGTTCAAATCCGACAGGCACGTCTGGCTACTTCAGTAACATTAAACAAAATATGCACCGTCTGCTTAACAGTGGATGTAAAACATACGATTGTGTCATTCAAAACGCATAGGTCATTGCATGTTGGTGTCATGGTCAATATTTGGGCATAATCAACGATTTTTGGGTTTAGATCGCGTTTATTTATAAATGTGTCGTAACCCTCCACCACCCGACATGGCCAATCAGTAAAAAATGTGTCACGTTGACAAAGACAAATAGTTCACTGCTTTAGCCCACCGGTGTGTTGAAGCAACAACATTCACAGCCTGGAAGCCCTATGCGTTTTGAATGACACAATCGTATGTTTTACATCCACTGTTAAGCAGACGGTGCATATTTTGTTTAATGTTACTGAAGTAGCCAGACGTGCCTGTCGGATTTGAACCTTGAACCTCTGCAATAAATAGAGAATGTGCTTCTTCTTGGATTCCCTCAATCTGAGTGTAGGCATGACAGCCTGAATGTTTCTAACTGGCGCAGATGTTCCATTTAGAGGGGTCCACGTTTCACATGCCTACAGAAGGGAGGGCAAAACTGGCCGAGAAGAACCGAAGCTTCATGCGGAGCGACAGACCAGGTAGCTTCCAAAGCATAGCGCAGCCGATGTAAAGATAATGCCACCCGACTGATTCGGACCACCCACACACTGTACACACGCAGTGTATCGACAAGGTCTACACAAACCATGTACACAGCGTACACACAGTTTACCCACACAGTATACAGTCTGTACACGCACAGTGTATACACACACAGTAACAACCGTCATTCGCCACTAAGTGGCGGTGATGTCACCACGGCGCTTGTGCCAGGCTATGTGCACGGGGCAGATCCAGGTGTCATGGGTCGACTGACTTAAATGACTGGCCAATGCACCACCTGTGCCCCCGACTGCGCCAACAAACAGTGTCCACACACAATGTTCACGTTGTTGTTGAGCTCACGCACCCAATGGGTTTCTGTTCAAGAGAGGGAGCCACAGAAATGGAATCTAAATAAACTTGAACTCTAACCCTGGTCTCTCTCTCTGACGTCACCCCTCATTAACTCGGCGTGATATGCGAGGGGGAGGTGTCCCCCACTAGTGACGTCATGTCACCGAGGTAATTACCCCCCCCACCGGGATTTTGTGCGTGACGTCACGTCTACCGATTTCCGTTCCAGTAAAATGCTTATTTGGGACCGGGACAGCAGCCAAGCACCATCACCTGACATGGGCCCCTCTCATTAACATAATTTATTCAGTTACCCTGCTGCTCGTTGGGGGAGGGGATTGTGTGAACCCCGCAAGTGACGTTATGTCACCTCATGCTGCCGCATGACGTCACGAGTTACCAGGTCGCTTCTGCTTCGCGCACGCTCGCTCACTGAGATCCGAGGTGAGAAGTTTACATCGTGGTGGTTGTTGTGGTTGTTGTGGTGATTGTTGTTGTAGTTGTTGTTGTGAACCCAGGTAGAGCCTCGCTCCTTCTCCCTCGTAGGGATATCAATTGAGTAGCAGCGAGTATGGAATCGATGTCCAGGTTGGAACATTACAACGCGGGGCCTAGCCATGCGGGGCCTTGCCTCCTGCCCTCGCCTGATTGCATTTGCTTTAATTCTCTGCTTAAGTTTAATTTGTCTTCACCTGGCTCACTACTTTGAAACTTTGTTTTACTTTAAATATTTCTACGTTTTTTTTTATTTTACCAGGCATAGCCCACTTGAGCTACACCGCTCGTTTTCAGAAGTGACCTGCCCACAACGCAGTGGGCTTATCAACTTGTGGAAATGTTTATCGGTCAAATACTCTAAACGCGTGGTGATGTTGACTCTAAATGTGCAGGGAAAACCGCAAGATCCGGAGGAAAATCCACGCGACCACGGATAGAGAGGGACACGCGAACTCCAAATATACAGCCATAACACAGGTTTGTTTGTGTGAGATCGCGTAAATAAATCGATGTGTCGTTAACCCCGCCACCACCCGACACAGCCAATTAGTAAGAGGTTTGTCAGGTAAACAGAACGTGGCTAGTGCGTCACTAGTACAGCACTAGTGTGTAATGTAGTGTATAGTGTGTGTAGTAGTGTATAGTGTAGTGCATAGTAGTGTAGTGTGTAGTGTAGTGTATAGTAGTGTATGGTGTAGTGTATAATAAGCACGTGTGCTGTTTTATTCAGACGCTGTTGCCTCGACAGACCTGGTTTTCACCTGAGGACGGCTGCTTGCGTTGTGGCCGAAACGTCGTGAGAATTGTTTTATTATGTTTTATTTTTATTATTTTTATTATTTTATTACTTCCCTTCTACGTGACTTTACCGAAAGAACCAAGAAGATGAATCCCTGCAGTTACGAAAGCTTTAAATCGAAATGTAGTGTACTAGTGTTGGAGAGCCAAGCCACAACATTTACCATCTGAGTACAACGTTTTGACAGTAATTACAACCAGCTTCATCAGGCGACAGCCAAATGTTGTGGCTTGATTCTGGGAATATAAATCGGCTCACTTGGTTCATAGCGCAGCACGCTAAACGTTCCACTACCACTCCCCACTCACGCACAAACTTAATCGGAAGTATAGTATTTATCCAGTAATAACTAAGTTACCCGGCTTAGCTCAGTTCTCAGTAATCAAACATTAGGAGTAATGTCTTGCCGTGCTGGCTTTTTTAGAATTATTGAATTTTGCAAATGAAATCCATAAATGTGTGTATATCGTCACGGTTTTTAGGTTGTGTTATACAATCGCAGGGCTTGTTTTTTCATAATGAGGACAGCTTTAAAATGTGTTGCCCTTGGAGAGCTTCAGGATAGACAATGTTGTATGTTTTTCCATCTGGTAGGTTTAATCAAATGATGCTTCCATTTTGGCATACATGTCGACAGCAAATTTGTGGAAGAGCTCTTTGCATCTCAAGAAGAGATTGAAGTTGCCGTTCGCACCATGATCCTGAAGGCAAAGCAGTCCATGGCGGAAATCTTCTTTTGTGTTGGCAAGCCTGTTGCTAGGTCAGTTTGACCATGCGGAGTTTAGTTTGCATGGATGACAACATTGTACTCTGAAGTAATCTTCTCCATGGCACACTTGAAACTGTGATTGTAAGAGTTTTCCTTATGGAGCATGTCTTGCAATAGGACTGGCATCTTGGTGTTGATGACATTTTTGCAATGCTGGTGAGCCTGTCTGGTATTGTCAGAGATGCAAGTAGATCTGTGGTAATGTAGGTAGGTTATTAGGTAGTGGCAGCAGACTGCCAATGAGATTATGTACCTGGCCCTGAACTTGAAATGTGGGCATGTAGCCAGATGTTAGGATGAGTTGCTCGATGCCAGAACATGATTATTTGGAACCATGAGTTATATCTTATATTGTTGTTTCGGAAATGGCTTGTCAGGTATCAATACATAAATAGGCTCGGTATGGTCATTAAATGTAGGCAGCTGAACCATGGTACTGTTGCAGCATAGCCCTAGAGTGTCTCCTTTCCATATCATTGCATGGCAGTAGCTGCAAGAAGTAGACATTGAACCAGTGGCATCTAATGGATCAGAAGTGTAAATGAAGTGAGGAATGTATGGAAAAAAATGCTTATCTTTGTGGCTGCAGGGTAGGCACCTGGTTGCAGCCATTGTCGTACTGTTTGCAAGCTGCCGTGCTTGTTGGCGGACTGGAGTTTGATTAGCTGTGGCAGCAGCCATTTGTGCTGTGTTAGTTTTGTGTAGCCTATTGCTGTTGATGAGATGCATTCACTGTAGGTGCAGGCATAGCAGCACTGGCAGCATGCCGTCTTGCTTCTTGGGTGTTCAGAAGTGTCCTCAATAGATGCAGCCATGGCAGCACTTGTACGAATGGCATCAGTTATTGTAATCAGCTTTGGTGAAGAAAAGTGCGCGTTTTCTGCAAGGAACGTTATAGGTGGAGGTAAAAATTAGTAAGCAGAATAAGCATAAATAGTGAGTGTGTGAGTGAATGCTGTGGTGAGATTGTTAATGAACTGATAGTTGAATGTGTAATCGTTGTAGGAATGTGAAGACAAAGCTGCAGAGGAATGAAGTATAAGGATGTAAGTTGTTGAAGGGAGTAATTGTTTGCAGTGCTTGAAGTGGGTATGAATAGTATGTGTTTGGTGGTGCTGACAAGTGATCCACACTTACATGGCATTCATGTGAAATGTATGTGTAGTGAGTTCATCTGAGTCGCAGATGTACACTTGGAGGCAACACATTTATTTAACACCAACACACGGGGTAACTGCCCCTTAACAGAATAACAACCTATGGTGGTGACCACCAGGCTAACTACACTAATTACAACGTAAATATCTACGACGGACAGGGACCACGGCTCGGGTCCAGGTCCACTTGTTGGAGACTCGGTGGAACGTAAAACGTATACGAAGGTTTCTTCAGGATGAACAACAATGCCGGTCCCTCTGGGGGACCCACCTTATATTCTCTGCGGTGTGGCTGGCTCCACGCTTGGCCACGACCACCTTCCAGAATCTTCGAGCAGGATCTGGACCCCAACCACGTGACCACCCCTAGCCCCCACTTGGGGCCCATTTGTAGACTTAACTGGTCACGTGTCCTCTAGGTCAACAAGAGTGCCATGGCCTTTAGTAACCTCATTCCTACGGCTGGCACTCCCACACCCTATCCTGTAGGGCCGGTACTACACGTCAAGCGTGGTGCCATCCAGCGATATCAATCAGCGCTCACGGAGCCCCTCTAGGGCCGGTACTACACCCACCATCGTGGTATCCGTGATGTCATTACACCGCACGCCGTGCCTCTCTAGGGCCGGCACTACACAGTAACATCCTGCTATGTCACTACATCTGTAAGAGTTTATTTACGTGGGGAGCGGTGGCGCAGTTATTACACTGTGTAACAACAAAAAATGTTCCTGGGTAGTGTTATTTCCTAATTGCCTATGCCTCAAAGGTACAGAAAATTGCTATTATACCCAACAAACTTTGCTTTTGTGACCAGGATATTGATATTTAGAAATTTACCTATTTTCAAAACGGGCCTGGTTACAAAAGCAAAGTTTGTGGGGAATAATAGCGATTTTCTATACTTTTTAGGCATGAGCAATAAAAAAAATAACACTTAATACCCATGAACAAAAATTGTGTTTCATAGTGTTGTAATGCGGGCGTAAATGGCCTCGCGGATGTGACGTCACGGGGGGAGGAGTTAGGTCACGTGGGAGAGAGGGATCAAGTCTTAAGGGGGAGAAACCGGAAGAGCAGGAGGGAGAGTTGGAGAGAGATAGAGAGTGAGGCCACGCAGGGCGGAGGTTGGAGGGTGGCGAGATCGCCACACACACCCAGGATAAGACTCGGCAGCGTCGGCCAGCGGTGACCGAGCACGGAGGAACGGGGAGCCGGTTGAGGCTGCAGTGAGGGCAGCCGGAGGCCTGCACGAGGAGATCAGCAGCGGAGCTGCATCAGAGTGGAGTGAGAGGCTACGGGAGCGACGGCAGCATCGGGCTGCCAAGCGGGGGAGTCTCGGAGAGAGAGCCGTGTGGGGCAAGTGTAAAGAACCCGAATAAAGGACAACGAAGACAGACACAGTGGTCGAGTCCTTTATTACAGTGTTATCACTGTATTATGAACTCAATAATTAGAGTTTGATTATCGCCGACAACAAACGTGATTGATAAGTGAAAACTTCACTTCTTGTGGGTCTCGGCTATGTTGATTGATCCTCAATTAATAACTTGGTGAAGTGAGAGAAGCATTAATACTGAGCAGATGAAGGTGGCCATGCATGGTTCTGGACACACCACCACCTTTTTACCATGCCAATGTGTGACAGTGTAAGTTTGTATTTGCAGTTAAGTATATTAACTCTTTTGAACACGTAGGTTAAATCAAAACAATAGTTAATTTTAGTTTTCCTTTGGGGCTTTTTATAATAATGGAAACGGGAAGTTAACACAGCACATATGCAGCTGAAGTTAGATCTGTTCATCCCAGCATTCAAGGAAATCTGAGCCTGGCTTCATACCTCTAAGTAAGCGATTGAACATTAATCTATGCATTTCTGCATAATACAAATAGTATTATTTTAAACACCCTTTGCTATGTTAGCTGCATTTTTCTTTAATAAATATTCCTTTTGTAGCCAGACAACTGATATTGTGTGCTTGGAGTTTTGGGTTAACATTCATTTTTTAAATTAAAGGGCTTCCAGGCATATTTCTGACCATTTGTCCTTTCATCGTGTGTCATAACAGCCATGTGATTAATTTGGGAATCTTTTTCACTATATCATGAATATATGAATAAGTATAGACGTGTAAGTATGTGTGACTGTATATATGCATTCCTCTGTGCCTCGATACTGACGTAGATGGTGTGGATATTCTTTTTTTCTGTCTGCAGCTGACGCTTCCTCCGCAGAATAGATCTGATGGAGCAAAGGCACTCGGCGCAGCTCGGTACAAAAAGGCAACAACGCGACCAGTGTGCATACAGCACGGATCGTCCTGAACATTTGACACAGCACCAGATAACTCACACAGGAGATAAACCCTTCAAGTGCACTGTGTGTGACAAGGCATTTCCATGGTCATCAGATCTTCATAGACACCAGAGAACACACACTGGAGAGAAACCCTTCAGGTGCACTTTGTGCGGGAAGGCGTTTGCTGAGTCAACACATCTTAAACTACACCAGAGAACACACACGGGAGAGAAACCTTTCAAGTGCACTGTCTGTGAGAAGGCATTTGCATGGTTATCATGTCTTAATTGCCACAAGAGAACACACACAGGAGAGAAACTCTTCATGTGCACTCTGTGCGGGAAGGCGTTTTCTGAGTCATCACATCTTAAACTACACCAGAGAACACACACGGGAGAGAAACCCTTCAGGTGCACTGTGTGCGGGAAGGCGTTTGCAGGTTTATCAAATCTTAAAACACACCAGAGGAGATACAATCATCAGAACATCCCCAAGGAGTGGAGTCTGAAATTGGCTTGTGAAAGTCAAAGTGCTGCAAAGAGCCCATCCCTCATGAAACCAGAAGTGAATCCCAGCTTGGACACTTTTAAAGGTATCAAGGTGAAATGTGAAGAGGCGAATGTGAAATGTGAAGAAGTGATGAAGAGCAAAGAAGTGAAGGTGAAATGTGAAGAAGTGATGGTGAAGAGCGAAAAAGTGACAGTAAACTGTGAAGATGAAGATTCAACTCCAAAATCGTACCTTCACATCGATGAAGGCAACGTGAAGCAGGAGAATTCTGACTGCGAGGCAGAGCTAGGCAACTCCCAGCAGTTTGTGGAAGTGGAGGTGTGGGTGGACTTCTTAGACAATACAAAGTCAAATGGAGACCCGGTAGATGGGTAGGCTTGAGATAATGAAGCTCCAATAGATGCACCTTTGTCACAGGCCTTTAATGAAAAGAACGTGAAATTGAACACTGAATTCCTGGGTTCAACCTGCAGAGTAAGAGCGGCGAGTATTTGTTGACCTGTGGGTTGGGTAGATGAAGAATCAGGAGCAAGAGCCAATAAGCTTCTAAGTATTCCACTGTTATATTTATATTTGCATTGATATGGTGTTTAATTGCCTCAGCAACTCAGTTTCATATCTCATCACAAACACTCGAAGAGCACCTTCAAGTGGCAGCTGCCTCTGTCATAAGGTGACTCTGTTGTCACCTGCATGTGGGCATGAGTCTGTCAGTAGGGGGTGATGATTGATGTGTAATCTTCATTATGTAATTTCTGGATAATGTTTGAAATTGCCCAAATATTGACCATGACACCAACATGCAATGACCTATGCGTTTTGAATGACACAATCGTATGTTTTACATCCACTGTTAAGCAGACGGTGCATATTTTGTTAAATGTTCCTTGAGTAGCCAGACGTGCCTGTCAGATTTGAACCTTGAACCTCTGCAATAAATAGAGAATGTGCTTCTACTTGGCTTCCCTCAATCTGAGTGTAGGCATGACAGCCTCAATGTGTCTAACTGGCGCAGATGTTCCATTTAGAGGGGTCCACGTTTCACATGCCTACAGAAGGGAGGGCATGACTGGCCGAGAAGAACCGAAGCTTCATGTGGAGCGACAGACCAGGCAGCTTCCACACAGCATAGCGCAGCCGATGTAAAGATAATGCCGCCCGACTGATTCGGACCACCCACATTACACGCGCAGTATACCCACAAGATCTACACACACCATGTACACAGCGTACACACAGTTTGCCCACACAGTATACAAACAGTCTGTACACGCACAGTATATACACACAGTAACAACCGCCATTCGCCACTAAGTGGCGGTGACGTCACCACGGCGCTTGTGCCAGGCTATGTGCACGTGGCAGATCCAGGTGTCATGGGTCGACTGACTGAGATGACTGGCCAATGCACCACCTGTGCCCCCAACTGCGCCAACAAACAGTGTCCACACACAATGTTCACGTTGTTGAGCTCACGCACCCAATGGGTCTCTGTTCAAGAGAGGGAGCCACAGAAATGGAATCTAAATAAACTTAAACTCTAACCCTGATCTCGCTCTCTGACGTCACCCTCATAAACTCGGCATTATATGCGAGGGGGAGGTGTCCCCCACTAGTGACGTCATGTCACCGAGGTAATTACCCCCCACCGGGATTTTGAGCGTGACGTCACGTCTACCGATTTCCGTTCCAGTAAAATGCTTATTTGGGACGGGGTCAGCAGCCAAGCACCATCACCTGACATGGGCCCCTCTCATTAACATAATATATTCAGTTACCCTGCTGCTCGTTGGGGAAGAGGATTGTGTGAACCCCGCAAGTGACGTCATGTCACCTCCTGCTGCCACATGACGTCACGAGTTACCAGGTAGCTGCTGCTCCGCGCACTCTCGCTCACTGAGATCGGAGGTGAGAAGTTTACATCGTGGTGGTCGTTGTTGTTGTTGTGGTGATTGTTGTTGTGGTTGTTGTTGTGAACCCAGGTAGAGCCTCGTAGAGATATCAATTGAGTGGCAGCGAGTATGGAATCGATGTCCAGGTTGGAACATTACAACGCGGAGCCTAGCCATACGGGGACTTGCCTCTTGCCCTCGCCTGATTGCATTTGCATTAATTCTCTGCTTAAGTTGAATTTGTCTTCACCTGGCTCACTACTTTGAAACTTTGTTTTACTTTAAATATTTCTACTTTTTATTTTATTTTACCAGGCATAACCCACTTGAGCTACACCGCTCGTTTTCAGAAGCGACCTGCCCACAACGCAGTGGGCTTATCAACGTGTGGAAATCGTCTTGGTTCTTTCGGTAAAGTCACGTAGAAGGGAAGTAATAAAATAATAAAAATAAAACATAATAAAATAATTCTCACGACGTTTCGGCCACAACGCAAGCAGCCGTCCTCAGGTCAAAACCAGGTGTCGACAGACCAAATAATTCTCACGACGTTTCGGCCACAACGCAAGCAGCCGTCCTCAGGTGAAATTCCAGGTCTGTCGACACCTGGTTTTCACCTGAAGACGGCTGCTTGCGTTGTGGCCGAAACGTCGTGAGAATTATTTTATTATGTTTTATTTTGATTATTTTATTACTTCCCTTCTACGTGACTTTACCGAAAGAACCAAGAAGATGAATCCCTGCAGTCACGAAAGCTTTAAATCGAAATTTAACATGTGGAAATGTTTATCGGTCAAATACTCTAAACGCGTGGTGATGTTGACTCTAAATGTGCAGGGAAAACCGCAGGATCCGGAGGAAAATCCACGCGACCACGGAGAGAGAGGGACACGCAAACTCCAAATATACAGCCATAATACAGGTTTGTTTGTGTGAGATCGCGTAAATAAATAAATGTGTCGTTCACCCCGCTACCACCCGATACATCCAATTAGTAAGGGTTTGTCACGTAAACAAAACGTGGCCAATGCGTCACTAGTACAGCACTAGTGTGTAGTGTATAATACTGTAGTGTATAGTAGTGTGTAGTGTATAGTGTATAGTAGTCAGTGGCGGCTCGTCAATAGAGGGCGCGGGGGCGCCGCCCCCATCAATATTCAAGAAATATACATATGCAAAATTTATATAAAAATACATAAATAAAATATTTTTTTCATACGATGTGCCGGCTGGTAGTAAGAAAAGCATCAGCATTTAATAAAAACTGGCTTTAATCGGTCAACTATTTTCTATGTTTTTCAATGTGTTTCATGCGGGGCGCCGGACAAATGGATGTCTATGTGAGACTTTACATTTTCGGACAGCATGTGACCTGAAGCTGGTCTCTAATTGGTTTCTTAAAGATTCTCCTCGGGGCGCAAGTCGTTGCGTCCCTGGCCAATCAGAATTGGATACATGTTATTTTATCCAATCTGATTGGTTCTCGTCACCTGTCATTCAAATTTACGCTGTAGGCCACTACTGCGAGTGCGAAGGCGACACCACTTTGACACTTGCTAGGCTGATCAAATTTTTTGTGTAAACAATGGCAGCAGTTCATCCAAATTCTGTAATTTATTTACAAAAAAAACCCTTTCACAAGGCTTTCGCTGGAAGAAATAAAAAAGATAAAGGATCTCGGACCGGACCAACCCGATTTACAAATCCAGCAGCAGGCCAGTGACAGAGGACGAAGCTACACACGAAGCTTCACCCGCGCTTGTTATGAGAAACGGAGGTGGCTGGCTGGATGTGATGTTAGCAATTCTTTTTTTTGTTTTCCCTGTCTTTTATTTCAAAGTGTCGGCACTGAAGTTTTGTGGACAACGACGGGGGTAAGAGACCTCAAACATCTCTCTGACAAATGCAAACGTCATGAAAGTAGCCGCAGCCATATTGATAATAGCATGAAACTAACGTTTTTATGTTCAAGTAGGAAACATGCTTTTGGTACTTTGGTCTGAAATGTATATAAAAGAGAAACATTTATGTTCAAGTAGGAAACATGCTTTTTGGTACTTTGGTCTGAAATGTATATAAAAGAGAAACATTTATGTTCAAGTAGGAAACATGCTTTTTGGTACTTCTTTTGGTCTGAAATGTAAATAAAGATCATCAAAATTTATATTCAAGTAGTCAAAATGGTTTTTGGTACTGCTTAATATTTATTTGCCCCCCTCAATAAAATAAAAAAAATGCGCCCCCCCAAAAATAAATATCACCAGCCGCCACTGATAGTAGTGTATAGTGTAGTGTACTAGTACATCTCATCGGTGTGTTGGAGAGCCAAGCCACAACATTTACAATCTGAGTACAACGTTTTGACACTAATTCCAACCAGCTTCATCAGACGACAGCCAAATGTTGTGGCTTGGCTCTGTGGGAATATAAATCGGCTCGCTGGGTTAATAGCGCAGCACGCTAACCGTTGCACTACCGCTCCCCACTCACGCACAAACTTTATCGGAAGTATAGTATCCAGTAATAACTAAGTTTCCCGGCTAAGCTCAGGTCTCGGTAATCAAACATTAAAAGTAATGTCTTGCCATGCTGGCTTTATTAGAATAATTTAATTCTGCCAAAGAAAGCTGTAAATGTGTATATTGTCACGGTTTTGTGGTTGTGTTATACAATAGCGGGGCTTGTTTGTTTCATGAGGACAGCTTTTAAATACGTTGCCCTTGGAGAGCTTCAGGATGGACAATGTTAGATTTTTGCCATCTGGTGGTGTTGGCACAATTTGGTTCCCAAAAAAACGTTCATGTGCACAAAGTTTGCTTTATTTATATAGATTTTTCCCATATTTTGTCTTGTGTATGGTTTCTCAATGTTCATTTTAATTGTTTAGTTTTTTTATTTTCCTTTTACCTCATGCCATTATTTAGGTAAGGCTTAAGTATTGAATATCGCACTTTTGGCTTTGCGAGGCACTTTCCCAGATCGTAACCTCTATATTCAAGGGGCTGAGGAGTGCCGATTTTCAGCAGAAACTATATCTCTGCTTTATTGATGCAATTAAGGCATATAGTACCATATAGAGGCTTCGGGCTTTGGGTTCTTTGTTTTTTATGTCTCTGCCTCTGCTCACATTCATTGACGATTTTTATGATTTTGGGCAAGCCCGTCTAAAGCTGCGTGACCAGGAGTTGGAGCCATTTGCTGTTCAATTTGGCTTGTGACAGACATTCACTCTGCCCCCATGCATTGCATTACATAGCATCTTCATTAATTATGTAATTTGAGAAGCTCACAATAGCCATATAAATAATTGCATTCGTTACAGTTAAAATGATACGCGCATCGATGCCTGGTTATAGTTAAGGGATCGTTCCCTGGTCAACCATGTTATATCTGCTGATGATCTGGAAATGGCTACTCAATGAGATCGGGTTAGATAATCTCGTTCTGTGCCCGGATAATTCCATCATGAAAGGTGGCCTTGCGTATGTTCCACCAAAATAAATCACCTGCCTGGGAATTTCATGTCATACAACACTGTACCTGCTCAACTCTCCATGAGTTATCAGGCAGTTCTGCAAGTAATGGAGGAGCTCCCATACCTGGTTAATGTGTTCACGACCAGCTCTGGTTTGGCAGCCAAAGTCTCACTTTAAATTTGTCTAGCAGCATTCTTTCATTAGACTGTGTAACACTGTGTGGAAGCTGCCTGGACTTTTGCGCCATACAAAGCTGTGAGTGTCCATCACCAAGGTCTAGTCTGTCTGAGACCATCCCTCTCCCTGCCATACTGGCATCGCACCCGCCTCTCACTCTTCGTACTGTGGATGGTGGGCGCACAGGACGGTGCCACGCAGCCATTCCAGGCTGGGTCCAAATGGGTTACGTGGGTCACCGAGCCACCAGGCCTCATTCCACGAGTGATATCAATATACAATATCTGTAACGAGGCCCCCCAATAGACTGCCCCTGGAACTCTATCGGGCACGTCCCACTGAGGGAAGTCCCCGGGGCCCGGGCCTGGACTTGCTGGTGGGAATATGTCGCTTGGCTGATTTGGGAATGCATGGGAATTCCCCAGGAAGATCCAGAGTCTGTCGCCAGGGAAAGGGAAGTCTGGACTGCCCTACTAAATCTGCTGCCGCTACAACCCTCACCAAGACAAGAGGATTTAGAAATAAACGAACAAACAAAGCTGTGAGTCTTCTTGGCCACAGATATTACTCCTTTCTCTGTAGATGCAAAATATTAACTTATTTAAAGGACCGTCTGTTCTGGCTTATAATTAAGACTGGCTAGCCTATGATCGCTTCTATTGAACCAAACAAGATTGTATTATAACCTTACAGAGCCCTAAAATATCAGTACAGAATATAATCTGAGACTTTGTCAGGAGAGGCTGCATTGGTTGGGTCATGAATTCCGCATAAACAGACAGCATGCACAATCATCTGTTAGTCCAGATGTTACGGGCTAAACGGGCATGGCATTGGCTAGAGAAGAGATTGGAGGATGTGGAGTTGATCAGACCTGCTGTCAAGATCGGCCTCTCGAAGAGGCCCGTGACGTATGCTGCAGGGGAGTTGGAGGTATTTGCTCTGCAACAACAATGAGGTTGGAGTAGCAACGATCACATGAATAGGTGGAACGCTGGGTGCCTCAAATGCAGCAAGACAGCAGGAAGCACAGCTGGTGCGTCTGTTAATCATCTCAGTCAGTCATCCCTTGACACCTGGATCATTCTCATGACATGCTGACAAGTGATCCACACTTACATGGCATTCATGTGAAATATATGTGTATGTAAGAGTTTATCTATGTGGGGAGCGGTGGCGCAGTTTTTCCACTGTGTAACCAAAAAAAAAGTCTTGTTCCTGGGTAGTATGTGTTATTTCCTAATTGCTTTTGCCTCTTAAGTACAAAAAATGGCTATTCCCCACAAACTTTGCTTTTGTGACCAGGACAGTGATATTTAGAAATTTACCTCTTTTCAATGAAAAAACAGGTGAATTTGTTATTTTCATTCACGTACAATTCTGGTCACAAAAGCAAAATTTGTGGGGAATAATTGCCAATTTCTAGACTCTTAGGCATAAGCAATAAAAAAATAACACTTAGTACCCAGGAACAAAAATTGTGTTACATAGTGTTATCACAATTAAAGTTTGATTATCTCCGACAACAAACGTGATTGATTCATGAAAACTTAACTTATTGTGGGGAAGCATTAATAATGAGCATATGAAGGTGGCCAGGCATGGTTCTGAACACACCACCACCTTTTTTCCATGCCAGTGTGTGTTACAGTGTCAAGTTTGTATTTGCAGTAAAGTATATTAACTCGATTTAACACGGAGGTTAAATCAAAACAATAGTATATACTTTTTTTCCTCTGGAAATTTTTAGGAGAATGGAAACAGGAAATTAACACTGCACATATGCAGCTGAAGTTAGATCTGTTCATCCCAGCATTCAAGGAAATCTGAGCCTGGCTTCATGCCTCTAAGTTAGCGATTGAACATTAATTTATGCATTTCTGCATAATAAAAATAGTATTATTTTCAACACCCTTTTCTATGTTAGCTGCATTTTTCTTTTATAAATATTCTTTTTGTAGCCAGAAAACTGAAATTGTGTGCTTGGAGTTTTAGGTTAACATTCATTTTGAAGATACTAGGGCTTCCAGGTTGACCATTGGCCCTCTAATTGTGTGCCCGTGTGATGAATTTGGGAATCTTTTTCATATTATCATGAATATATGAATGAGTATAGACATGCAAGTCATGTGTGACTGTATATATGCATTCCTTTGTGCCTCAATACTGACGTAGATAGTGTGGATATTCTCTTTTTTCTGTCTGCAGCTGACGCTTCCTCTGCAGAATTGGTTTGATGGAACAAAGGCACTCAGCGCAGCTCGGTACAAAAAGGCAACAACGCGACCAGCGTGCATACAGCATGGATCGTGTTGGACATTTAACACAGCACCAGAGAACTCACACAGGAGAGAAACCCTTCAAGTGCACTGTGTGTGACAAGGCATTTTCATATCCATCAGTTCTAAGGAACCACCAGAGAACACACACAGAAGAAAAACCCTTCAAGTGCAGTGTGTGTGGGAAGGCATTTTCACATTCATCTGCTCTTAAAAAACACCGGAGAACACACACAGGAGAAAAACCCTTCAAGTGCAGTCTGTGCGCGAAGGCGTTTTCACAGTCATCTGCTCTTGTATTACATCAGAGAACACACACGGGAGAGAAACCCTTCAGTTGCACTCTGTGTGGGAAGGCATTTGCACGTTCACAACATCTTAAAATACACCAGAGAACACACACAGGAGAGAAACCCTTCAAGTGCACTGTGTGTGACAAGGCATTTTCACATTCATCAGTTCTTAGGAACCACCAGAGAACACACACGGGAGAGAAACTCTTCAGGTGCAGTCTGTGCGGGAAGGCGTTTTCACAGTCATCTGGTCTTGTATCGCACCAGAGAACACACACGGGAGATAAACCCTTCAAGTGCAGTGTGTGTGGGAAGGCATTTTCAGATAAATCTCCTCTTAAAAAACACCGGATAACACACACAGGAGAAAAACCCTTCAAGTGCAGTCTGTGCGGGAAGGCGTTTTCACAGTCATCTGCTCTTGTATTACATCAGAGAACTCACACGAGAGAGAAACCCTTTAGTTGCACTTTGTGTGGGAAGGCGTTTGCACATTCACAACATCTTAAAATACACCAGAGAACACACACGGGAGAGAAACCCTTCAGTTGCACTCTGTGTGGGAAGGCGTTTGCACAATCACCATATCTTAAATTACACCAGAGAACACACACTGGAGAGAAACCCTTCAAGTGCACTGTGTGTGGGAAGGCGTTTGCACATTCACAACATCTTCAATTACACCAGAGAACACACACGGGAGAGAAACCCTTCAAGTGCACTGTGTGTGACAAGGCATTTGCACAGTCATCAGGTCTTCATAGACACCAGAGAACACACACAGGAGAGAAACCCTTCAGTTGCACTCTGTGTGGGAAGGCGTTTGCACAGTCATCAATTCTTAAACGACACCAGAGGACACACAAGCATCAGAAGATCCCCAAGAAATGGAGTCTGAAATCGGCTTGTGAAAGTCAAAGTGCTGCAATGAGCCCATCCCTCATGAAACCAGAAGTGAATCCCAGCTTGGACACTTTTAAAGGTATCAAGGTGAAATGTGAAGAAATGATGAAGAGCGAAGAAGTGAAGGTGAAATGTGAGAAAGTGATGGTGAAGAGCGAAAAAGTGACGGTAAACTGTGAAGATGAAGATTCAACTCCAAAATCGTACCTTCACATCGATGGAGACAACGTGAAGCAGGAGGAGAATTCTGACTGCGAGGCAGAGCTAGGCAACTCCCAGCAGTTTGTGGAAGTGGAGGTGTGGGTGGACTTCTTAGACAATACAAAGTCAAATGGAGACCCGGTAGATGGGTAGGCTTGAGACAATGAAGCTCCAATAGATGCACCTTTGTCACAGGCCTTTAATGAAAAGAACGTGAAATTGAACACTGAATTCCTGGGTTCAACCTGCAGAGTAAGAGCGGCGAGTATTTGTTGACCTGTGGGTTGGGTAGATGAAGAATCAGGAGCAAGTGCCAATAAGCTTCTAAGTATTCCACTGTTATATTTATATTTGCATTGATATGGTGTTTAATTGCCTCAGCAACTCAGTTTCATATCTCATCACAAACACTCGAAGAGCACCTTCAAGTGGCAGCTGCCTCTGTCATAAGGTGACTCTGCTGTCACCTGCATGTGGGCATGAGTCTGTCAGTAGGGGGTGATGATTGATGTGTAATCTTCATTATGTAATTTCTGGATAATGTTTGAAATTGCCCAAATATTGACCATGACACCAACATGCAATGACCTATGCGTTTTGAATGACACAATCGTATGTTTTACATCCACTGTTAAGCAGACGGTGCATATTTTGTTAAATGTTCCTTGAGTAGCCAGACGTGCCTGTCGGATTTGAACCTTGAACCTCTGCAATAAATAGAGAATGTGCTTCTACTTGGCTTCCCTCAATCTGAGTGTAGGCATGACAGCCTGAATGTATCTAACTGGCGCAGATGTTCCATTTAGAGGGGTCCACGTTTCACATGCCTACATTAGGGAGGGCATGACTGGCCGAGAAGAACCGAAGCTTCATGTGGAGCGACAGACCAGGCAGCTTCCACACAGCATAGTGCAGCCGATGTAAAGATAATGCCGCCCGACTGATTCGGACCACCCACACTACACGCGCAGTGTACCCACAAGATCTACACACACCATGTACACAGCGTACACACAGTTTGCCCACACAGTATACAAACAGTCTGTACACGCACAGTGTATACACAGTAACAACCGCCATTCGCCACTAAGTGGCGGTGACGTCACCACGGCGCTTGTGCCAGGCTATGTGCACGGGGCAGATCCAGGTGTCATGTGTCGACTGACTTAAATGACTGGCCAATGCACCACCTGTGCCCCCTACTGCGCCAACAAACAGTGTACACACATAATGTTCACGTTGTTGTTGAGCTCATGCACCCAATGGGTTTCTGTTCAAGAGAGGGAGCCACAGAAATGGAATCTAAATAAACTTGAACTCTAACCCTGGTCTCGCTCTCCGACGTCACCCCTCATTAACTCGGCATTATATGCGAGGGGGAGGTGTCCCCCACTAGTGACGTCATGTCACCGAGGTAATTACCCCCCCACCGGGATTTTGAGCGTGACGTCACGTCTACCGATTTCCGTTCCAGTAAAATGCTTATTTGGTACGGGGACAGCAGTCAAGCACCATCACCTGACATGGGCCCCTCTCATTAACATAATATATTCAGTTAACCTGCTGCTCGTTGGGGAAGAGGATTGTGTGAACCCCGCAAGTGACGTCATGTCACCTCCTGCTGCCACATGACGTCACGAGTTACCAGGTAACTGCTGCTCCGCGCACGCTCGCTCACTGAGTTCCGAGGTGAGAAGTTTACATCGTGGTGGTTGTTGTTGTTGTGGTGGTTGTTGATGTTGTGAACCCAGGTAGAGCCTCGCTCCTTCTCGTAGGGATATCAATTGAGTAGCAGCGAGTACGGAATCGATGTCCAGGTTGGAACATTACAACGCGGGGCCTAGCCATGCGGGGACTTGCCTCCTGCCCTCGCCTGATTGCATTTGCTTTATTTCTCTGCTTAAGTTTAATTTGTCTTCACCTGGCTCACTACTTTGAAACTTTGTTTTTACTTTAAATATTTCTACGTTTTTTTATTTTACCAGGGATAGGCCACTTGAGCTACACCGCTCGTTTTCAGAAGCGACCTGCCCACAAAACAGTGGGCTTATCAACGTGTGGAAATCGTCTTGGTTCTTTCGGTAAAGTCACGTAGAAGGGAAGTAATAAAATAATAAAAATAAAACATAATAAAATAATTCTTACGACGTTTCGGCCACAACGCAAGCAGCCGTCCTCAGGTGAAAACCAGGTGTCGACAGACCTGGTTTTCACCTGAGGGACGGGTGCTTGCGTTTTGGCCGAAACGTCGTGAGAATTATTTTGTTTTATTTTGATTAGTTTATTACTTCCCTTCTACGTGACTTTACCGAAAGAACCAAGAAGATGAATCCCTGCAGTCACGAAAGCTTTAAATCGAATTTTTACGTGTGGAAATGTTTATCGGTCAAATACTCTAAACGCGTGGTGATGTTGACTCTAAATGTGCAGGGAAAACCGCAGGATTCGGAGGAAAATCCACGCGACCACGGAGAGAGAGGGACACGCAAACGCCAAATATACAGCCATAATACAGGTTTGTTTGTGTGAGATCGTGTAAATAAATAAATGTGTCGTTCACCCCGCTACCACCCGATACATCCAATTAATAAGGGGTTTGTCACGTAAACAGAACGTGGCCAATGCGTTACTAGTACAGGACTAGTGTGTAGTGTATAATACTGTAGTGTATAGTAGCGTGTAGTGTATAGTGTAGTGTACTAGTACAGCACATCGGTGTGTTGAAGAGCTAAGCCACAACATTTACAATCTGAGTACAACGTTTTGAAACTATTTCCAACCAGCTTCATCAGACGACAGCCACATGTTGTGGCTTGGCTCTGTGGGAATAGAAATCGGCTCGTTGGGTTAATAGCGCAGCACGCTAACCGTTGCACTACCGCTCCCCACTCACGCACAAACTTTATCGGAAGTATAGTATCCAGTAATAACTAAGTTTCCCGGCTTAGCTCAGGTCTCGGTAATCAAACATTAAAAGTAATGTCTTGCCATGCTGGCTTTATTAGAATAATTTAATTCTGCCAAAGAAAGCTGTAAATGTGTATATTGTCACGGTTTTGTAGTTGTGTTATACAATAGCGGGGCTTGTTTGTTTCATGAGGACAGCTTTTAAATACGTTGCCCTTGGAGAGCTTCAGGATGGACAATGTTGGATTTTTGCCATCTGGTGGTGTTGGCACAATTTGGTTCCCAAAAAAACGTTCATATGCACAAAGTTTGCTTTATTTATATAGATTATATATATGCTCCAAGCTCGTGTGCTGTTTCATTCAGACTGTCGCCTCGACGGACCTGGTTTTCACCTGAGGACGGCTGCTTGCGTTGTGGCCGAAACGTCGTGAGAATAATTTTATTATGTTTTATTTGTATTATTTTATTATTATTTTATCTTTAGACGTGACTTAACCGAAAGAACCAAAGAGTAATCAGGCAGTTCTACATGTGGTGGAGGAGCTCCCATGCCTGGTTAATGTGTTCACGACCAGCTCTGGTTTGGCAGCCAAAGTCTCACTTTAAATTTGTCTAGCAGCATTCTTTCATTAGACTGTGTAACACTGTGTGGAAGCTGCCTGGACTTTTGCGCTATACAAAGCTGTGAGTGTCCATCACCAAGGTCTAGTCTGTCTGAGACCATCCCTCTCCCTGCCATACTGGCAACGCACCCGCCTCTCACTCTTCGTACTGTGGATGGTGGGCGCACAGGACGGTGCCACGTAGCCATTCCAGGCTGGGTCCAAATGGGTTACGTGGGTCACCGAGCCACCAGGCCTCATTCCACGACTGATATCAATATACAATATCTGTAACGAGGCCCCCCAATAGACTGCCCCTGGAACTCTATCCGGCACGTCCCACTGAGGGAATTCCCCGGGGCCCGGGCCAGGACATGCTGGTGGGAATGTCGCTTGGCTGGCTTGGGAACGCCTGGGAATTCCCCAGGAAGATCCAGAGGCTGTCGCAAGGGAAAGGGAGGTCTGGACTGCCCTACTGAATGTGCTGCCGCTACAACCCTCACCAAGACAAGAGGATTTAGAAATAAACGAACAAAGCTGCGAGTCTTCTTGGCCACAGATATTACTCCTTTCTCTGTAGATGCAAAATATTAACTTATTTAAAGGACCGTCTGTTCTGGCTTATAATTAAGACTGGCCAGTCTATGATCCCCTCTATTGAACCAAACAAGATTGTATTATAACCTTACAGAGCCCTAAAATATCAGTACAGAATATAATCTGAGACTTTGGCAGGGGAGGCTGCATTGGTTGGGGCATGAATTCCGCATAAACAGACAGCATGCACAATCATCTTCTGTTAGTCCAGATGTTACGGGCTAAACGGGCATGGCATTGGCTAGAGAAGAGATTGGAGGATGTGGAGTTGATCAGACCTGCTGTCAAGATCGGCCTCTCGAAGAGGCCCGTGACGTATGCTGCAGGGGAGTTGGAGGTATTTGCTCTGCAACAATAAATGAGGTTGGAGTAGCAACGATCACATGAATGGGTGGAACGCTGGGTGCCTCAAATGCAGCAAGACAGCAGGAAAAACAGCTGGTGCATCTGTTAATCATCTCAGTCAGTCATCCCTTGACACCTGGATCATTCCCATGACATGCTGGCAAGTGATCCACACTTACATGGCATTCATTTGAAATATATGTGTATGTAAGAGTTTATCTATGTGGGGAGCGGTGGCGCAGTTTTTCCACTGTGTAACAAAAACAATGTCTTGTTCCTGGGTAGTATGTGTTATTTCCTAATTGCTTTTGCCTCTTAAGTACAAAAAATGGCTATTCCCTACAAACTTTGCTTTTGTGACCAGGACAGTGATATTTAGAAATGTATCTCTTTTCAATGAGAAAATAGGTGAATTAGTTTTTTTAGTTCTTGTATAATTCTGGTCACAAAAGCAATGTTTGTGGGGAATAAGCCATTTTCTAGACATTTTGGCATAAGCAATAAAAAAATAACAATTAGTACCCAGGAACAAAAATTGTGTTACATAGTGTTATCACAATTAAAGTTTGATTATCGCCGACAGCAAACGTGATTGATTGGTGAAAACTTCACTTATTGTGGGGAAGCATTATTACGGAGCATATGAAGGTGGCCAGGCATGGTTCTGAACACACCACCTTTTTACCATGCCATTGTGTGTTACAGTGTCAAGTTTGTATTTGCTGTAAAGTATATTAACTCGATTGAACACAGAGGTTAAATCAAAACAATAGTTTATTTTAGTTTTCCTTTGGAACTTTTTACGAGAATGGAAACAGGACATTAACACAGCACATATGCAGCTGAAATTAGATCTGTTCATCCCAGCATTCAAGGAAATCTGAGCCTGGCTTCACACCTTTAAGTTGTGATTGAACATTAATTTATGCATTTCTGCATAATACAAATAGTATTATTTTCAACACCCTTTATGACGTTAGCTGCATTTTGCTTTCATAAATATTCCTTTTGTAGCCAGACAACTGAAATTGTGTGCTTGGAGTTTTAGGTTAACAAGTCATTTTTAAGATACTAGGGCTTCCAGGCTGACCATTTGCCCTCTCATTGTGTGCCCATGTGATGAATTTGGGAATCTTTTTCACTCTTATCATGAATATATGAATGAGTATAGACGTGCAAGTCATGTGTGACTGTGTATATATGCATTCTTTTGTGCCTCTATACTGACGTAGATGGTCTGGATATTAATTTTTTTCTGTCTGCAGCTGATGCTTCCTCTGGCACTTCCTCTGCAGAATTGGTCTGATGGAGCAAAGGCACTCAGCACAGCTCAGTGCAAAAAGGCAACAATGCAACCAGTGTGCATACAGCACGGATCATGTTAAACATCTGATACAGCACCAGAGAACTCACGCAGGAGAGAAACCCTTCAAGTGCAGTCTGTGCGGGAAGGCGTTTTCACAGTCATCTGGTCTTGTATCACACCAGAGAACACACACGGGAGATAAACCCTTCAAGTGCAGTGTGTGTGGGAATGCATTTTCACGTAAATCTACTCTTAAAAAACACTGGATAATACACACAGGAGAAAAACCCTTCAGTTGCACTCTGTGTGAGAAGGCGTTTGCACATTCACAACATCTTAAAATACACCAGAGAACTCACACGGGAGAGAAACCCTTCAGTTGCACTTTGTGTGGGAAGGCGTTTGCACAATCATCACATCTTCAAGCACACCGGAGAACACACACGGGAGAGAAACCCTTCAGTTGCACTCTGTGTGGGAAGGCGTTTGCACAATCACCATATCTTAAATTACACCAGAGAACACACACGGGAGAGAAACCCTTCAGGTGCACTGTGTGTGGGAAGGCGTTTGCAGGTTTATCAAATCTTAAAACACACCAGAGGACATACAATCATCAGAACATCCCCAAGGAGTGGAGTCTGAAATCGGCTTGTGAAAGTCAAAGTGCTGCAGTGAGCCCATCCCTCATGAAACCAGAAGTGAATCCCAGCTTGGACACTTTTAAAGGTATCAAGGTGAAATGTGAAGAGGCGAAGGTGAAATGTGAAGAAATGATGAAGAGCGAAGAAGTAAAGGTGAAAAGCGAAAAAGTGACGGTAAACTGTGAAGATGAAGATTCAACTCCAAAATCGTACCTTCACATCGATGGAGGCAACGTGAAGCAGGAGGAGAATTCTGACTTCGAGGCAGAGCTAGGCAACTCCCAGCAGTTTGTGGAAGTGGAGGTGTGGGTGGACTTCTTAGACAATACAAAGTCAAATGGAGACCCGGTAGATGGGTAGGCTTGAGACAATGAAGCTCCAATAGATGCACCTTTGTCACAGGCCTTTAATGAAAAGAACGTGAATTTGAACACTGAATTCCTGGGTTCAACCTGCAGAGTAAGAGCGGCGAGTATTTGTTGACCTGTGGTTGGGTAGATGAATAATCAGGAGCAAGACCCAATAAGCTTCCAAGTATTCCACTGTTATATTTATATTTGCATTGATATGGTGTTTAATTGCCTCAGCAACTCAGTTTCATATCTCATCACAAACACTCGAAGAGCACCTTCAAGTGGCAGCTGCCTTTGTGTCATAAGGTGACAGTGCTGTCAACTGCATGTGGCCATGAGTCTGTCAGTAGGGGGTGATGATTGATGTGTAATCTTTATTATGTAATTTCTGGATAATGTTTGAAATTGCCCAAATATTGACCATGACACCAACATGCAATGACCTATGCGTTTTGAATGACACCATCGTATGTTTTACATCCACTGTTAAGCAGACGGTGCATATTTTGTTTAATGTTACTGGAGTAGCCAGACGTGCCTGTCGAATTTGAACCTTGAACCTCTGCAATAAATATAGAATGTGCTACCTCTTGGCTTCCCTCAATCTGAGTGTAGGCATGATAGCCTGAATGTTTCTAACTGGCGCAGATGTTCCATTTAGAGGGGTCCACGTTTCACATGCCTACAGAAGGGAGGGCAAAACTGGCCGAGAAGAACCGAAGCTTCATGCGGAGCGACAGACCAGGTAGCTTCCACACAGCATAGCGCAGCTGATTAAAAGATAATGCCGCCCGACTGATTCGGACCACCCACACACAGTGTACACACGCAGTGTTCCCACAATGTCTACACACACACACCATGTACACAGCGTACACACAGTTTACCCACACAGTATACAAACAGTCTGTACACGCACAGTGTATACACACAATAACAACAACTGCCATTCGCCACTAAGTGGCGGTGACGTCACCACGGCGCTTGTGCCAGGCTATGTGCACGGGGCACATCCAGGTGTCATGGGTCGACTGACTGAGATGACTGGCCAATGCACCACCTGTGCCCCCGACTGCGACAACAAACAGTGTCCACACACAATGTTCACGTTATTGTTGAGCTCACGCACCCAATGGGTCTCTGTTCAAGAGAAGGAGCCATAGAACCAGATGACACCAGAAGGCGTACTACTCAAACAGTGCAGTATCAGGGAAAGCCGTCTCGGGTGTGGACCAATCAACTTCAAGGACAGTGCATATTATCATTATCATAGTTGCTTCTTTTTGTTTGCATTTTTGACTACCTGTGTTGTGGTTATTGCAAACATGATGCCTTGTATAAAGGTGTCAGTTTTGTACCAGTTTAAAAGGGTAAAAACCTATTGCTATAATATATTCAGTTACCCTGATGCTCGTTGGGGGAGTGACGTCATGTCACCTGCTGCCGCATGACGTCACGAGTTACCAGGTCGCTTCTGCTTCGCGTACGCTCGCTCACTGAGATCCGAGGTGAGAAGTTTACATTGTGGTGGTCGTTGTGGTGGTGGTGGTTGTTGTTGTTGTGAACCCAGGTAGAGCCTCGCTCCTTCTCCCTCGTAGGGATATCAATTGAGTAGCAGCGAGTATGGAATCGATGTCCAGGTTGGAACATTACAACGCGGGGCCTAGCCATGCGGGGCCTTGCCTCCTGCCCTCGCCTGATTGCATTTGCTTTAATTCTCTGCTTAAGTTTAATTTGTCTTCACCTGGCTCACTACTTTGAAACTTTGTTTTACTTTAAATATTTTGATATTTTATTTTACCAGGCATAGCCCACTTGAGCTACACCGCTCGTTTTCAGAAGCCACCTGCCCACAACACAGTGGGCTGATCAACTTGTGGAAATGTTTATCGGTCAAATACTCTAAACGCGTGGTGATGTTGACTCTAAATGTGCAGGGAAAACCGCAGGATCCGGAGGAAAATCCACGCGACCACGGAGAGAGAGGGACGCGCAAACTCCAAATATACAGCCATAATACAGGTTTGTTTGGGATTGATCGCGTAAATAAATGTGCCGTTAACCCCGCCACCACCCGACACAGCCATTTAGTAAGAGGTTTGTCATGTAAACAGAACGTGGCCAATGCGTCACTAGTACAGCACTAATTTGTAGTGCATAGTGTAGTGTATAGTTGTGTATAGTGTAGTGTATAGTTGTGTATAGTGTAGTGTATAGTGTAGTGTATAGTTGTGTATAGTGTAGTGTATAGTTGTGTATAGTGTAGTGTATAATGTAGTGTATAGTTGTGTATAGTGTAGTGTACTAGTACAGCACATCGGTGTGTTGAAGAGCCAAGCCACAACATTTACAATCTGAGTACAACGTTTTGACACTAATTCCAACCAGCTTCATCAGACGACAGCCACATGTTGTTGCTTGGCTCTGTGGGAATAGAAATCGGCTCGCTGGGTTCATAGCGCAGCACGCTAACCGTTGCACTACCGCTCCCCACTCACTCACAAACTTAATCGGAAGTATAGTATTTATCCAGCAATAACTAAGTTACCCGGCTTAGCTCAGGTCTCAGTAATCAAACATTAAGAGTAATGTCTCTGCTTTTTTATGTAATTAAGGTCTATCGTACCATATCGAGGCTTGGGGCTTTGGGTTGTTCTTTGTTTTTTATGTCTCTGCCTCTGCTCACATTCATTGACGATTTTTATGATTTTGGGCAAGCCCGTCTAAAGCTGCGTGACCAGGAATTGGAGCCATTTGCTGTTCAATTTGGCTTGTGACAGAAATTCACTCTGCCCCCATGCATTACATTACATAGCATCTTCATTAATTATGTAGTTTGAGAAGCTCACAATAGCCATATAAATAATTGCATTCGTTACAGTTAAAATGATACGCGCATCGATGCCTTGTTATAGTTAAGGGATCGTTCCCTGGTCAACCATGTTATATCTGCTGATGATCTGGAAATGGCTACTCAAGGAGATGGGGTTAGATGATCTCGTTCTGTGCCTGGATAATTCCATCATGAAAGGTGGCCTTGCGTATGTTCCACCAAAATAAATCACCTGCCGGGGAATTTCATGTCATACAACACTGTACCTGCTCAACTCTCTATGAGTAATCAGGCAGTTCTGCAAGTAATGGAGGAGCTCCCATACCTGGTTAATGTGTTCACGACCAGCTCTGGTTTGGCAGCCAAAGTCTCACTTTAAATTTGTCTAGCAGCATTCTTTCATTAGACTGTGTAACACTGTGTGGAAGCTGCCTGGACTTTTGCGCCATACAAAGCTGTGAGTGTCCATCACCAAGGTCTAGTCTGTCTGAGACCATCCCTCTCCCTGCCATACTGGCATCGCACCCGCCTCTCACTCTTCGTACTGTGGATGGTGGGCGCACAGGACGGTGCCACGCAGCCATTCCAGGCTGGGTCCAAATGGGTTACGTGGGTCACCGAGCCACCAGGCCTCATTCCACGAGTGATATCAATATACAATATCTGTAACGAGGCCCCCCAATAGACTGCCCCTGGAACTCTATCGGGCACGTCCCACTGAGGGAAGTCCCCGGGGCCCGGGCCAGGACTTGCTGGTGGGAATATGTTGCTTGGCTGATTTGGGAATGCCTGGGAATTCCCCAGGAAGATCCAGAGTCTGTCGCCAGGGAAAGGGAAGTCTGGACTGCCCTACTAAATGTGCTGCCGCTACAACCCTCACCAAGACAAGAGGATTTAGAAATAAACGAACAAACAAAGCTGTGAGTCTTCTTGGCCACAGATATTACTCCTTTCTCTGTAGATGCAAAATATTAACTTATTTAAAGGACCGTCTGTTCTGGCTTATAATTAAGACTGGCCAGCCTATGATCCCCTCTATTGAACCAAACAAGATTGTATTATAACCTTACAGAGCCCTAAAATATCAGTACAGAATATAATCTGAGACTTTGGCAGGGGAGGCTGCATTGGTTGGGTCATGAATTCCGCATTAACAGACAGCATGCACAATCATCTTCTGTTAGTCCAGATGTTACGGGCTAAACGGGCATGGCATTGGCTAGAGAAGAGATTGGAGGATGTGGAGTTGATCAGACCTGCTGTCAAGATCGGCCTCTCGAAGAGGCCCGTTGACGTATGCTGCAGGGGAGTTGGAGGTATTTGCTCTGCAACAACAATGAGGTTGGAGTAGCAACAATCACATGAATGGGTGGGAACGCTGGGTGCCTCAAATGCAGCAAGACAGCAGGAAAAACAGCTGGTGCATCTGTTAATCATCTCAGTCAGTCATCCCTTGACACCTGGATCATTCTCATGACACGCTGACAAGTGATCCACACTTACATGGCATTAATTTGAAATATATGTGTATGTAAGAGTTTATCTATGTGGGGAGCGGTGGCGCAGTTTTTCCACTGTGTAACCAAAAAAAAAGTCTTGTTCCTGGGTAGTATGTGTTATTTCCTAATTGCTTTTGCCTCTTAAGTGCAAAAAATGGCTATTCCCCACAAACTTTGCTTTTGTGACCAGGACAGTGATATTTAGAAATTTACCTCTTTTCAATGAAAAAACTGGTGAATTTGTTATTTTCGTTCACGTACAATTCTGGTCACAAAAGCAAAATTTGTGGGGAATAATAGCCAATTTCTAGACTCTTAGGCATAAGCAATAAAAAAATAACACTTAGTACCCAGGAACAAAAATTGTGTTACATAGTGTTATCACAATTAAAGTTTGATTATCTTCGACAAAAAACGTGATTGATTCGTGAAAACTTAACTTATTGTGGGGAAGCATTAATACTGAGCATATGAAGGTGGCCAGGCATGGTTCTGAACACACCACCACCTTTTGTCCATGCCAGTGTGTGTTACAGTGTCAAGTTTGTATTTGCAGTAAAGTATATTAACTCAATTGAACACGGAGGTTAAATCAAAACAATAGTATATACTTTTTTTCTTCTGAAAATTTTTAGGAGAATGGAAACAGGAAATTAACACTGCACATATGCAGCTGAAGTTAGATCTGTTCATCCCAGCATTCAAGGAAATCTGAGCCTGGCTTCATGCCTCTAAGTTAGCGATTGAACATTAATTTATGCATTTCTGCATAATAAAAATAGTATTATTTTCAACACCCTTTTCTATGTTAGCTGCATTTTTCTTTCATAAATATTCTTTTTGTAGCCAGAAAACTGAAATTGTGTGCTTGGAGTTTTAGGTTAACATTCATTTTGAAGATACGAGGGCTTCCAGGTTGACCATTGGCCCTCTAATTGTGTGCCCGTGTGATGAATTTGGGAATCTTTTTCATATTATCATGAATATATGAATGAGTATAGACATGCAAGTCATG